TTCGTCCCGTCGATACTCCAGTGGAGACCTGTTATGAGATAAGAGCCCAAGAGTTCGACGACATTCTTCTGGCGCCACACTCTTGAGTCCAACTCATAGATCAGGAGCTTCTCCAACGAACTCAAGATAGTAATGGTTCCCGAAGTGGAACTAATGGCACACGAGATCTCATTACCGAACTCTATGTTCTGTTTGCCATAATTGGTTGATCTCTGGGCGCCTGTCGTTGTCGTCTGTGTGGCCGTCGATATGTTGATGAAACTGATCCGTCCGTCACAGCCGGCGGCGCACACGTAGCCACTCGTGGAGACCGTCAGCGCGAAGGGCGGACACGAATGAGTGGCCACTTGTTTGCCGGTGTTGTCCCTCGTGTTGAACCCATTCATAAGGATGTGTCCGCTCATGAAACCGCAGACAATTGTATCGGTGGTCACACTCATGGAGACGACGAGCGAATTGCTGGCCATTAGACCAAACATTTTGTTGGTCTGCGTCTGCACCACCTTTACCTGCGATTAGACATCACAGGTGTTAGACATAGAGGAGTTTGACTATAGAGGTGTGTCTCAAGATGTATATACTTTGCCATCGAGTGATCCGAATAGGATTCCGGCGGAGTTCCACACCAGACACGTGACCGGATTCTGGAGACTGTATTTATTGACAATCGCTTTCTTATCGCCCCTAAGAGTCGCATAATTAGTAATTTGTGGGACAGTTATGAGTATTTAATTTAAATTAAAAGTTTTAATCACTATTAATAAGATTCAAAACTTTATAAACTTCTATAAATGTAACTTAAAAGTAGTGAAAACTATTAATACTAATTAAAACTCTATAAAAGTGTTGCAAATTCCGTGTTTTCTTATTACTAATGGTATGTAATGTGTAGTTATTTTCATAAACACTTATATAATTGACTCCAGAATTGAAATACAAACCAATTTTCGCCGATTTTATAGACGAAGATAACGCAGTCTGACTGTCCGATCGCCAGCTTCTGAGAGTCGGGCGAAAAGGCGATGCCTTTCACGACAAACGACTTGCGGCTGAACTTCTTGTCCGTCGACTTCAGCGCAAACTTATCCCTCTCTTCGTTGGTCTTTGTGTCGAAAAGTATGATCTGATTGTTAACAGACGTACAGACGGCCAGTCGTGTGAGGTTTGGGGCCAGAGATAGGCACTCGACTCGCGCTATACTGAAACCCTTGTCCGCTTTCAATAGGCTTTTCTCGTGTTTTAATCTCATTGTCCGCTAAACTAATGGTTAGTATATATTCCGCGAGACATATATATACACGAGAGATGTGTTTCAAGTGCTGTTCAGACATACTATTCGTGTATTTGTTGTGAATTCTGTCACAGAATCGGTTTCTATGGATACTCTGCGGCACAGAATTTATCATTGTTTTGGACATTAGTTTGTTTTATGTTTGTGTTTAATATAACAGAATAAATACATTGAAGTCCTTACACCCTTAAGTCTCTATAAATGACTAATTAATAGCTTACTATAATTATGTTTAAATAAATCAAACTTGTGAAAAGTTTGAAAACTTATTCAAATATTAATTTAGCTTGCTTTCGCATCGGTATCTGTAAGGGATGGCGCTCAGGTATTCATATATAATATATATAATTATCATGTCCATATATATATATATACAGTACATATACATTTATACATATACTATATATAGTCATGCGTTGTATAACATAATGGCGTTTTCTTAATATAGTGAACTGGTTTGTCAATGAGAAATTGTCATTGAAATCAAGCATTTATTGAATACGCTTAGTTTTCCACTAAATAAAATGTGATATATAGTGATATATTTATTGTTAGTCGTAGTAATTAGTTACTAAATTATGATCAAGTTTGTGAATTTCATATGAACGTGGCACAAATTCTGTCATAGCTGTTCATGATAATGTTTATAAGATTAATTTTTAATTTAATTTATAATTCATTCATTCAGTCTTAATACGCAAACGTGGGCGCGTTTTGAATACGCCCGGCATGCCCAGGGCGTGCGTACAGTACGCCATGGCGGGCACGGGTTCGTGTAGTACGCGCGCCACTGGTGTACGTATAGAGCCACCTATCGACTCAAACACCAAATTTAATAAACAACATCTCAATGGACATCATTTGTGTGAAAAAGTCGTGCCCAACGCATGGATAGCTGTGTTATTCAATGTATTGCACTCGAGTTGTTACCACTCATACTGTCCTGCATTTAGTCTTAGCCATAGTCACCATCGGCTGATCCGGAGGCTTATCCCTTCACTCCATTCAATACTCATTTGTGGCCAAAAGCACTGCAAAGCGCCGCTCGTCTCAACACATCCCAAGACATAACTGAAGCGAACGCCAGATCTATTGCTGTACACTATATATACGCGGATCCGCACCGGCAGTGAAGTCTTCAGTGTCTACACCGACGCCTCCGCTCTAAACTATTAGTCCAATACAGGGCTGTCTTCAAACAGGTACGGGTGCTCATCACCACCACATCCATCACTCTAATCACTCACTCAATGGCTAATGCGTTGTCTCTTATTTACAGGACTCGCGTCGCGTGCGGAGCGGAGGGTTGGCTGAGAACGTGAATGAATAGTGTCGGCCATCAAGTGATTTGTAATCCAAGTGTAGGACAGCATTGGGCGGATATGGCGCAGAGGTATCCACAATCGTTGCAATGGTTCAAAAACAAAGAAAATAGTGGCGTCGAAACAAATGGCATAAGCATCGGCTCTCACGAAGTGGACAATAGTAACCATGCCATAAATCTCACTGTCATTCATAACACTTATAACTTCTTTAACCAAGGCTGGGTATTGATACTCTCTCTCTCTCTCTCTCTCTCTCTCACTCACTAACTCACTCATCCCAATTCATACCTCTTAACACCTATAATCACTTATTTAGTAAAGCTAGTGTACATAATATAGTTTAAATGATATGTAATATCATAGGTAAATACGCCAGACATGTAATCTGGAGACCCGAGTTCAAGCCTCTGCACTACCGTTGTAATACAGTTTGCCTTTTCAATGATTTCTACACCCTTTCCCCTGATTTATCTGTTATAAATATTAGTGATTGGAAATACATCTAAAATGATATGTTATATGTTAACAGAACCCCCAGTTCTACAATCAAGTGTCAAACGGAACCGCAATCCAAGTGCCAATCGGAGCCTTACTTAATGGACAGCACCGCGAGCCAAGTGGCCATCAATCACAGTCAGACAATAGCCAAAGTACTCAAGAGCTTAATAGTGGGTCACAACCACTTCACCAGCTTATAGACACCTCGGAGACGCGCGCACCGCGCGACTCCATCGCTCACATTTTCAGCAAAACGTTCGTACCTCAGGATAACACGAATGACCCGGGTGTTTGGGCCAAACGATGGGCCCCATTACTGGCCTTTTGTCAAGAGAATGGAACACTGCCTGGTCATCATTGCCGTACTAGTCGTTATAATGTGAATTATTGAACATGAAATGGACACCACTTTCGGCTCAACAAACCGCTAATAAAACGCCAAAGTCTTAAGCAATTGTGTCATAACTCTCCCTGGTCATGAATGCGGCAACAAACAGTTGTCTCAATTTACACGCAACTATTCATTGAAACTACTGTATGACTTATGACAACTATAATAGTATTTATTTTAGTACACATTACTAAAACACCAATTTATCGCATTTACATATGTTGTCTATTATACAATATACAGTACACATTGTTTTCTACGTTAATGTTGCCATTCATAAGCTATTTATGGAGTTTGTTATGGAAAACTTAATTGAGTTTAAATTTATCAGACATTTAACAATTTGTTGCTAATCTATTGGCACCGCTCGTAGTCAATACATTGATATATTTAGTCATTATCTCGATTATTATAAAACAAAATTTTTAAAACTATTCAACTTTTTATTAAATAAGTCTATTGTAATTGTAATCAATGTTAATGAGATTGATGATAGATTATTATAATAGAAATTGATTTTAAAAATATAAACTGATTTTATAATGTTCGAGGTACTGGAAAAATACCGGTATTTGTTTTTATCACAAGTTTTATTCGCAAAATATTTAATAAAAAAGCTTTAATTTTATTTAAAATCATTTGTAATTTATTTTAAAAACTTGTCGATCAGTGGACAAAACACCACTATTTGTACGTCAACTACACGGACGTGAAAAACACTACAAAACACTTGAATTCAAATCAATCGTAAAAATCTATTTATTCATAAAAAGTCGATTCAATTAAAAAAATACAATTAATTACAGAAAACTATTTAATCGCTAATCACTCGGAGATTCTGGACATGAAATCAAGCGTTGGGTCCGATTTGGGCCACAATTCTTGCCCTCATTTTCTTGTTATCATTAGTCATGCAGTGAACCAAACCGTGGATCTGTTTCTGGTTATACTCTTTACGGGCTTTAATCCACTCAATGAGTGCCCCTTCCGTGAGGTAATAGGCTTTGATGTACTCATCGACGAGTTGTCGCTCAGGAATGGGTCTAATTGTGGTCATTGTCTCGACTTTGGACACAAACTGCTGGAAATCGAGTTGCATGAGAGCCCGGCCCTCATGAGTGCAACGCTTGGCCTCAGAGAAGCCCTCAATGAATGTGCGCGAAGACAGCCGTAACACGTGTTCCCATAGAC